CATATAAATAAATACATAAATAAATAAATAAATGGCTGGTATTACTAGGTATTACCCTCATGTTTGTGGTGGCACGTATTCCCCAAACCCTGGAGTCGTCGTGATTTGCTACATGGGTGCGGTGGGGCATTGACAAATTGACGTTCATGTTCTCTTGTACCTTCTACCATTCTGAATGCTACGTTGTAACGTTCTGAATGCTACGTTGTAAGATCTCCTCTTGCACTTGCGCACGCGCACACACACACACACGCACACGCACACACACACACACAGACACAGACACAGACACACAGACACACAGACACACAGACACACAGACACACAGACACACAGACACACAGACACACAGACACACAGACACACAGACACACAGACACACAGACACACACAGAGACACCAGACACACCCGAGACCACAGAGACACACCAGAACACAACAGACACACACATACGACACACAGCACACAAGACACACACAGACACCACACAGACACACACGACACACACAGCACACACAGACACCCATACACACACAGACACACACAGACACACACAGACACCCACAGACCACACAACACACACTACACACACATACACACACATACACACACATACACCACCAGACCGCTCATACACGCTCATACACTCACGCACTCACTCACTCACTCACTCACTCACTCCCTCACTCCCGCACTCTCGCACTCACTCACGACGCACGCACAGCCTCACTCACTCACTCACGCACCCACGCACCCACCCACACACACACACACACACACTTGGATACACCCCGAAGGGAGATGAGATGAGATCATATAATGTCATGTTATGTTATCATGTTATCATGTCACGTCGGCATGGGTGGTTTATGGCTTAGCCACCTGGCCATGTCCGAGGGTGGAAGTTCGCAGGTACGTTTGCAGCTCTCATCATTGGCCTCTTCGTTGGCCATCCGCCAATGATGAGAGGGATGGCCCCCTGCTTATACCCTTTGATTCAGGGTTTCCCACACACCCACACCCACACCCACACCCACACCCACACCCACACCCACACCCACACCCACACCCACACCCACACACACCCCCACACACACACACACACACACCCCCACACACACACACACACACACAAGCCCACACACCCACCCACCATCACACCCCCCCACACACCCACCTCACACACCACGCCACACACCCACACACCCACACACCCAGCACACCCCACAACCACACACCCACACGACCCACACACCCACCCCTCACCCCATTCTCACCCCCATCTCCACCCCCACCCCAACCCCCCACCCCACCCCCACCGCCAACCCCCACCCCCAACCACCCCTACCCCTACCGACCCCTTACCCCCACCATCCTACCCCCCAACACTCCCCAGCACGCCCACACGCCCACACACGCACGGGATGCTACGTTGTGAGATCTTCTCTTGCACTTGCACACTCACACACGCATGTGACGCTACATTATGAGATCTTCTCTTGCATTCCCACATGTGCGGGATGCTACGTCGTTGCGAGATCTTCTCTTGCACTTTCTAACATTCTGACTGCCACGTTGTAGTGTTCTGAATGCTACGTTGTAAGCTCTTCTGTTGCACTTGCACAAATGCACATTTACACACCACAGGATGCTATGTTGTTAGATCTTGTCTGGCACTTGCACACGGGCACACGCACACACACACACACGCACGGGATGCTACATTATGATTTCTTCTGAACATGCGCGGAATGCTACGTTGTGAGATTTTTTCTCGCACTTTCTAACATTCTGAACGCTACCTTGTAGCGTTCTGAATGCTACTTTGTAAGGTTTTCTCTTGACTTGCACACGCGGGGTGCTACGTTGTGTTTTTCTTTCTCTTGTGAGTTTTTTTTTTGTGTGTGTGTGTCGCTATACGTGTTAACATTGCATGTACGATTAAGATTGCTGGTGCGAAGCAAAGTGATTGCTGTTGGAAACACTTGAACAAAAATGCTGCAGTCATATGAAGAACCGCGCCAGACCTTGCCTGAATGGTAGATTGTGGGACTGCGACAGAATGTACCACTGGATTTTCAGACATAATTCGGCAAAGCGACAAATACGCGACAACATGACAGAAAGATGGAAAACGCGCAGCTGAAACTTTTCGTCGTCACATGGTCCAAACACATCATTCAGAAACTTGAAAACCGTGAGGCGCTTTTGTACATTGAAGTCAAAAACGCGAGGTTGCGACGGTCCGTGTTACTGTTTTTGTTGATCATTGCCCCCAAGTCGTCATATTATATTCTTGTACCCAGGAGAGCATGCAAGGGAACTCCTTCTTTGTATGCAAAGCGGCCGATGGTGAGCCAGTGGCCTGCTTGGCGCCGAAACAGGCGGGGGACGACGTCTAGTCTAATCATACAGTAACCATGATTATAGTATAACCCACTTAAACTTATAATGGGATAAGTACGCTCGCACACACACACACACACACCGAGAGAGAGAGAGAGAGAGAGAGATAGATAGATAGATAGATGGATAGATGGATAGATGGATAGATGGATAGATGGATAGATGGATAGATGGATAGATGGATAGATGGGTAGATGGATAGATGGATAGATGGATAGATGGATAGATGGATAGATGGATAGATGGATAGATGGATAGATGGATAGATGGATAGATGAATAGATGGATAGATGGATAGATGGATAGATAGATAGATAGATAGATAGACAGAGAGACAGAGAGACAGATAGATAGATTAGATAGATTAGATAGATAGATAGATTAGATAGATAGATCGATAGATAGATAGATAGATAGATAAATAGATAGATACATAGGTGGGTAGCTAGATAAATAGATTAGATAGATAGATAGATGGATGGATAGATAGATAGATAGATAGATAGCTTGATAGATAGATAGATAGATGGATGGATGGATAGATAGATAGATAGATAGATAGCTTGATAGATAGATAGATAGATAGATAGCTGGATAGATAGATAGGTAGATAGGTAGATAGATAGATAGACAGATAGGTTAGTAAGTTAGTAGGTTAGTAAGTTAGTAGGTTCGAAACGTTAGTAAGTAAGTTAGTTAGTTAGGTAGTTAGTTGGTTAGTTTAGTTAGCCTAGTTAGTTTAGTCAGTTTAGTTCAGTTAGTGTAGTTAGTTTAGTTAGTTTAGTTTAGTTTAGTTTATTTAATTTAGTTTAGTTTAGTTTAGAAACTAACTAACGAATTAACTAGCTAACTAACAAACAAACAAACTAACAAACTAACAAACAAACACACTAACAAACCAACTAACGAACTAACAAACTAACGAACTAACAAACTAACAAGCTAACTAACAAACAAACAAACAAACTAACTAACTAAGTAACTAACTAACTAACTAACCAACAAACCAACCAACCAACCAACCAACTAACAAAGTAACTAACTAACTAGACTAAACTAACTAACTAACTAACTGACTAACTAACTAACTAACGAACTAACTAACTAACGGGCGAACTAACTAACAAGCCAACTAACAAACAAACAAACAAACAAACTAACTAACTAACAAAGTAACTAACTAACTAACTAACTAACTAACTAACTAACCAACCAACCAACCAACTAACAAAGTAACTAGCTAACTAACTAAACTAAACTAACTAACCAACTAACTGACAAACTAACTAACTAAACTAAACTAAACTAAACTAAACTAAACTAAACTAAACTAAACGAACTAACCAACTAACTAACTAACTAACAAACTAACAAACTAACAAACTAACTAACTAACTACCTAACTACCTAACTACCTAACTACCTAACTACCTAACTACCTAACTACCTACCTAACTACCTAACAAACTAACAAACTAACTAACTAACAAACTCACTAACTAACTAACTAACTAAACTAACTGACTAACTAACTAACCTAACTAACTAACTAACGAACGAACTAACTAACTAACTAACCTAACTAAACAATCCACTAACTAGCAAACTAACTAACAAACAAACTAACAAACAAACAAACTAACTAACTAACTAGCTAACTAACTAGCTAGCTAACTAACTAAGTAAGCAACTAACTAACTAACTAACTAAACTAAACTAAACTAAACTAAACTAAACTAAACTAAACTAACTAAATAAACTAACTAACTAACTAAATAACTAACTAAGTAACTTAATAACTTAACTAACTAACTAACTTAATAACTTCACTAACACAGTAACTAACTAAGTAAGTAACTAAACTAACTAAACAAACTAAACAAACTCAACTAACTAATCTAAACTAACCTAACCTAAACTAAACTAAACTAAACAAAACTACCCCAAACCAAATAATTAAACTGACTAACTAGCTAAACTAACTGACTAAACTAACAAACAAACAAACTAACTAACTAACTTGATAACTTAACAAACAAACCTAATAACTGAAGTAACTAACTAGACTAGACTAGACTAGACTAGGCTAGACTACACTAAATTAAACAAACTAACGAAGTAACTAACTAGCTAACTAACTAACTAACAAACTAACAAACTAACTAACTAACTAACTAACTAACTAAACTAACTAAATAACTAAATAACTAAACAACTAACTAACTAACTAACTAACCAAACTAACTAACTAACTAACTAACTAACTAACTAACTAACTAACTAACTAACTAACTAACTAACTAACTAACTAACTAACAAGGCAACAAACAAACAAACTAACTTACTTGCTTACTTACTTACTTAAATAACCCCATTAACTAACGAGCAAACTAACAAACTAACAAAGTAACTAACTAACTAACTAACGAACGAATGAACGAACGAACTAACGAACTAACTAACTAACTAACTAACAAACAAACTAACTAACGAACTAACTAACTAAACGAAACTAAACTAAACTAAACTAACCTGACTAACCTGACTAACCAAACTAACTAACTAACTAAGTAAGTAAGTAAGTAAGTAACTAACTAACTAACTAACTAGCTAACCAACCAACCAACCAACCAACCAACCAACTAACTAACTAACTAACTAACCTGACTGACTGACCGACTAACTAACTAACTAACTAACTACCTAACTACCTAACAACCTAACAACCCAACCTAACCCAACCTAACGTAACCTAACCTAACCTAACTAACGTAACTAGCCCAACTAACCTAACTACCTAACTACCTAACTACCTAACTAACTTAATTAGCTTAACTAACTAACTAGCTAACTAGCTAACTAGTTAACTAGCTAACCAGCCAACTAGCGAACTAGCGAACTAGCTAACTAGCGAACTAGCTAACTAGCTAACTAGTTAATTCACTAACTAACTAGCTAACTAGCTAACTAACTGACTAACTAACTGACTGACTGACTGACTGACTGACTGACTAACCAACTAACTAACTATAACTAACTAACTAACTAACTAACTAAAACTAACTAACTAACTAACTAACTAACTAACTAACTAACTAACTAACTTAACTAACTAACTAACTAACAAACAAACAAACTAACTAACTAACCAAATAAACTAACCTGACTAGCCTGACTAACCTAACTAGTTTAGTTTAGTTTAGTTTAGATTAGTTAGTTGGTTTAGTTAGATAGATGGATAGGTAGATAGGTAGATAGGTGCGTAGGTAGATAGGTAGGTAGGCAGATAGATAGACAGAAAGACAGACAGATAGATAGATGGATCGATCGATAGGTAGGTAGGTAGATAGATAGATAGATAGATAGACAGAGAGAGAGAGAGAGAAAGTGAATACAGGGATAATATCCACATACCCACAAGCAGACAGTGCAGGCAGACACCAGGCATACATACATATTATATGTATGAATCTGTATGAACATGTGTTTCAATTTGTTCGGATGATTTGGATTTAGTGGGCAGCATGTAAGATGTTTGTATAAACAAGTTCCTGGCACGAGGTCTTGGCTGAGGCGTCAGCTGGCCAAGTGGTTTAGAGATGGCTGTGGCATCCAATGGCATGTCCGATTGAAAGGGAACAATACACAATAATGATCCCCGTTGAAATCTTCCCTATGGAATGGTTGGCCTAAAGGCTCACACAAGCCTCATTTTTAAAGTAATTTTCTAGGAAATCACTTTCCCTACGCCAACCATTTTGTAGCATGTGCTAATTTGGAAGGCGTCAAGGCCCATTTCAGAGGCCATTTTGTAGGGAATTGCTTGCACCTTGCCATATCCTAAGAGCTATAAACCTGATTTAGGCATAAAATCGCTATCATTTAGCAATCTCAAAATGCAGTTTGAAGATTTTAAGGGGTCATTTTGTAGGGAACTGATGCTATTCTTGGAAAACGATCTGCGCGCCCAATTATGCAGTGTTTTCATGGCAGCATGATAAACCATGAAAGCACATGTGAGCAGGTGCACAGCAGTTGGAGGAACACATGAAACCTTAGTCCATGCCATTTTGCATGGGAACATGTTTCAATACTTTAAGTTTAATGTGCACAGTGTAGAGGGAGGATAGGTGAGGCAACCTGCATTGTTTGCCAAGAGTTGTGTTGGAAAGCCAGGCTGATTCGGACAAATGGCATGGGGTTTGATTTTGAGATCTTGCGTGGCCTTACCAGTATCCCCTTGCTAGTATCCCCCCTTGCTAGTATCACCTTGAGATCTTGCATGATCTTGCGAGTATCCTCAAGCAACATGCCAAGCAGGAGTTGCAACTAGTAAGATCTCAAAATGCAACCCCATGCCACTTGTCCGAATCAGGCTGCCTTTCGAACACAAATCTTGGGCAAAATGGGGGGCACCAACGCTTCACTCTTTGTCCACATTGTAAAATAAAAGGCAGCAAACACCAGTGAACCCATTTCCTTACAAAAAGGATGGGTTGCTCCTTAAAGACAATTGAGGGCTGAGTGAGGAAAATGCAAGGAAAAAGCAGAGGAGCATGTTCCTACAAAATGATGACCTTTTTGGTGTTCAGGTTCCAAGCATGCAAGCAAGGCTCCTATTCAGAATAAGATGGAGCTCTGAAATCTGCAAATGTTGTGTTGCGTTTCAGCTTTTTCTTGAACAAAACGCCACCATTTTGTATGAACAATTTTGACTTGCCCCAACTCATTCTGCAGGTTTTTTCCAAATCCCCCGGGTTTATAGCTACAAGAAGTGGGCCCTGACCCCTTGAGGTGAGTTCCAAGGGGGATCAATAATGTATTTCTATATTTAGTCACTCACAGGCCAATACACGATTTGCAAGCCATTTCAGCGAATGGACATACTGAACATCACATTATGCACATATGGAAGATATACATAGACATGCGTAATATTCTGATTGTGAACGCCAGTGAGCCAGTCATAGACTTACGAACCATTTAGCTTCAATTGGACCATCCAGATCACCCAGCCGGGCTTCCCAGATTCGGCTCTCGAGCACACAGCCACATGCAGCCGAAGACGTGTACGGCTTCGTGGGCACCCTAGGGACGTGTACCAGTGGACCAGAAATGGGCGTGTAACCATGGGAGTCGTTGACTTGTTTTGGGTAAAACGCATCAGTATTCAGCGGTATCCATTCCAAATTCTACCTTTGGGGGACTTTCACTGAAAATGCGGCAGATAACGATATCAGACTTTACCAATGGCGATGGTTTAGTATGTAGGAAAGCAACTCCGAACAGGGTTCATTCCCACCTGTGCCCCTTGCCTCAGCAGCAGCTCCAAGGAGGAAGAGGGGACCAAGGCGGTGAGATGATGTTTTCACTACCCTCTGGTAATCTGACATAGATCTGGGACATACTAGTAGCCCAAAAAAAAGAAGAGAAACCAACGAACCCGAATGCAGTCATGTAAAGCACTTTTGCGAAACAAATTATTTCAACAGTCTTGTACATTTTTCCCCTGTTCCCGTACCAGTGTAGACTGTGAGGTGTGGAACGGGGTGGAGTGCAGAGTGAGGAGTGTGAAAACAGTGAAGACAGTGGAGTGTTAAGTGGGGAATGTAGCGTGAAGGGTATGAGGTGGGGCTTGTGGAGTGTGAAGTGTCGAGTGTGAAGTGTAAAGTGTGGAGTGTAGAGTGTAGAGTGTGGAGAGTCGAGTGTACACTGTGATGTATATAAATTGTGGAGTGCAAAGTGTAGACTGTGGAGTGTAAAGCTTAGAATGTGGAGTGTGAAGTGTAGCGTGTAGAGTGTCAAGTGTAAAGTGTACAGTGTAAAGTGTAAATTGTAGAGTGTAGAGTGTGGAGTCTGAAGTGTAAAGTGCAAAGTGTAGAGTGAAGAGTGTGGAGTGTGGAGTTTAAAGTGCAGAGTGTAGAGTGAAGACTGAGGAGTTTGGAGTGTCAAGTGTAAAGTGTCAAGCGTAGAGTGTAGAGTGCGGAGTGTAAAGTGTAGAAAGAAGAGTGTAGAGAGTAGGGTGTTAAGTGCAAAGTGTGAAGTGTAAAGTGTGGAGTGCGGAGTGTCAAGGGTAGAGTATGAAGTGTAAAGTGTAGAGTGAAGAGTGTGGAATGTGGAGTGTAAAGTGTAAGAGTGGTGCGAATGGAGTATAAAGTATAGATTGTGGAGTGTCAAGTGTAAAGTGTGGAGTGTAAAGTGTAGAGTGAAGAGTGTGGAGTGTCAAGTGTAAAGGGTACAGTGTAAAGTGTAGAGTGTGGAGTGTGAAGTGTAGAGTGTAGAGTGTGGGGTGCCAAGCGTAAAGTGTGAAGTGTAGAGTGTAAAGTGTACAGTTAAAGTGTGAAGTGTAAAGTGTAGGGTGTGTGGAGTGTGGAGTGCAAAGTGTAGAGTATGAAGTGTCAAGTGTAAAGTGTGAAGTGTAAAAAAAGTGTAGAGTGTGCAGTGTCAAGTGTCAAGTGAAAAGGGCAAAGTGAGAGTGTGGAGCGTAAGTGTATATAAAGTATAACGCATAGTGTGTGGAGTGTAAAGTAAGAAGTGTAAAGTGTAGAGTGTGGAGTGCGAAGTGCACGTGATCACCACTTGATGCAGCCCTTACACTGTGATTCGCTAAAGACACGCAACACGACTCGTCTAAAGTGCTGTGCCTGCCATGCAAAATGATGATGGAGGTCTCCAAAGTGTTGTGCTTGCCACGAAAGATGCAATTCATCTTCTGAAAAGGATGCAACGGTATTGCGCCTGTCACACATTTGACACATTATGCAACATGTTGGAATGTCACGAAGTGCCACGCCTGCCGAGGTTTCGCGACGTTTGAAACCTCCAAGGTCCAAAAGCTTTTACAGCACTCCCCATAGGCACGGCCATAGCGACCTCATCGAGGACGGTTGTGGACGGTTGCGAACGGTTGCGAACATAAAAGCAGCGTTGAGCAAACACCTCTGCACACCCAGACCCCCAAAGTAAAATGAGAACCCTTCGCTACGCATTCGGCAAAAGGACAAAAAAAAGATGTTAAATTACCGGAGGGCCAGAGGGCACAGATCCTCTCATCATTTCATCCGTTCAAAGTTACCTATCTCATCCACGACCAGGCTGAACGTGAAAAGGAGGAGGCCGATGAAATGGACCGCTACCGCGAAGGTGTTAATCTTAGGATCGGCGATCAGGGCCACACGCCTCCAGATCCGCCATCACTTGGGGGCACCCTAGCGCCTGGTTGATAGACATCCCGCTTGTCTACCTCCTTTATCGCCCCCCCCTTGAATTCGGTGTCAACCAAGAATTCATGCATCCTGTGTGACCAGTCACCTCCATTTGAGGTCTCAAAGATCCGGATAAGTACGTCCTGCCACCACGCAAGCGAATGCGTGAGCTTTTTGGTTGGCCACTTGGATGTGCCAGAAATATCTATATAGAAAAATTCAATCCAGCACGCCCTCAGGTCTTCCCCCAGAACCTCGCAAGCCGGATAAAAACCAGCCAGATGCTGAGTCTCCAAGGGCTTCAGTCATGGCTCCAGGAATCCATTCTTCAGGTGGCTGCTCTAGAACGATGGACTGCTAGCAGGTGTATCGGTAATTCAGATATGTTTGCGGGGCAGCTGTAGCTTGGCCTAGGAGTTGATTGGGATGATACCAATGCCATCTCTGATTGGTAGGGAGTAGGGACCCATCATTTTGTTATTTTCTGCCACAGGTTGATGGCCAAGACGCTGCCACCAGATGCTCTGTTGTGGGGAAGAGCTTTGCAGAAGCCTCAATCATCTCAGTTTTTTGGGTGGGAGAGCCGTCAGATGCAACTGAGCACCAGTGAAATGAAGATAACGATCACAATGATGACTTCTCCAGCTGGTGCGCTGGCACCCTCCATCTTCACAGGATGGACCGTCAGCGCAGTGGAAAAGTGGGCTACAACCTGAAGTCAAGTGGTTACGACCCGGCGAAGGCGTGACCCAATGCAGTCAGATGGTATAGACGTGAAGTGGGGTACTGCGCAGGAATCGCTACACATGAACCGCCTTGCATAGCCACGGCATCTCCCACGCCTGCCTTTCAACGCCAGGCAGTTACCGCTGCACGTCTGGACATGTAGTCATGGTTCCACAGATGTTGGACATCTTGGGCATGAGGCACTGCGCAAATGACACTGCCTTGAATTTCACTTAAGAGAATTCAGAAGATGTCATCCATTGTCATCCCCTCTTCCGTTTGGCCGGGCCATCTTTGGAAGATGCTGGAGCCAACTTTAAGGACTTTAAGGGACCCAGTGAAGAACTGGGCAGCTGACTCGATGTTAAACCGGGCTGGAAGGGTCCTCCCACAAGAACTAGACGACGGATGGCCCGAGAGCGTAGAGGAGCAAGTTACCCGGGTACGGTATAAGTATAAACACTATGAAAAGGATTGAAAAGGTATGCAAAAATAAACATAAACGTGTTTTAACTTGAATTTAGATAAACATAAAACTTTTAAGTATATAGAAGAAAAGACAATGATTACAATAAATGTAGCAGCTGATCATCAGAAAGATGAAGAAGGCAAGATGTCAGGATGTTCAGACGAATGTTGATGAGACGCATTGAAGCATTTGTAGTGGTACAGAACGAAAGCAAGAAGATAAACATTGCAATGGAGAGGCTGTATGAAGGAAACAGGGTGGTAGAAAGAAGTGAGGGAAGGAAAGAACAAATGGAGAAAATGTAGGATGCGAAGGTGTAACACAGACACTTTTACACAGATACTTTTGCACACAAACGCTTTTACACACGGACGCTTTTACACACAGAGGCGTTTCAACATTTCACACACAGACGCTCTTACACACAGACGCTTTTACACACACACACAGACGGTTTACACACAGACGCTTTTGCACACCCAGGCGTTTACACACAGACTACTTCACACTGACGCCCTTACACACCCGCGCTTTTACGCACAGAGGCTTTTACGCACACAGACGCTTTACACACAGAAACTTTTACACACACACACACAGAGGCGTTTACAGACAGACTATTTCACCCTCGGGGACCAAACAAAATCATTTTTTTCTTCAGTTTTTGACGGTCGAACCTCTTTTCGTGCCTAACGGTCACAACAGGAAACTCAAAATCGTAATTTTTATCAATTCTTCTTCAGGTTTTGACGATCGAACCTCATTTCGTGCGTAAATGATTCATAAATGTCGCATTTTCGTGATCGCTCGTGGCCACCGCCCCACCTTAAGAGAGAATAAAAATGAGCAGACGAGAGGGGAGAACGAGCGAGAGAGAGAGAGAGAGAGAGAAAGAGAGAGAGAGAGAGAGAGAGAGAAAGAGAGAAAGAGAAAGAAAAAGAAACAAATAAAGAGAAAGAGAAAGCGAGAGAGAGAGAGAGAGAGTGCAACATCTGAAGATGTAAGATGTGAAACTTTACGGTCTGCAGCCATAGAATCAGAAAATGTAAGATCTGAAGATGTAAGATGTGAAGAAGTAAGGTCCGGAGACGTAAGACGGGAAGACGTAAGGTGTGAAAATGTAAGATGTGAAGGCGTAAGATCTGAAGAAAAATCTGAAGATGCAAACTGTGAAAATGTAAGATGTGAAGATATAAGATCTACAGACGTAAGATATCGTAAGATGTGTGAAGACGCATTATGTCAGCTCCTTTTTTAGAAGAAGCCTACTCTGATGCGCTCTCGGGAAAAAAACTGTCTTGTATGACATGGTCAAAGCAGTGGCAGGGCCCATACTTGATGCAGGGCTCATATTGGTCCCAAGCGGGTTTGGCCTTCCAGTCAACTGCCCAGCTTTCCCATTTACTGCAGCCCAGTGGCCCAGACCGGGCTGACTGGGCATCGCCGTGCAGCGTCGCACAGGGACACGGATTTTCCGCCGCACAGTGGGCTGCAACTCAGGGGGAGGTGACGGCAATGAGCCTCGCCTCTCGAAAGTTGCTGAAACTTGGGCCACCCGTGCGGCACGAAAAGCTGGGCAAATTGTGAGGAACGCATGGTTGATTGCCGTGCATGTTTTGCTGGGATTTGCTTGCTCAATCTCAGCGTAAAGCTGTCAGCTGTCAGGTCATTTTGATGCGTTTGGTTGGCTCATGTTGGCTCAAGAGAGAGGATGAGAAAGGAATGTACAAGGGTTATTATCATCCCAAAGACGTGGGCCTTCATATCCTTCATGATGAGCTGCTTCAGCAGATGAATAGATTTCGCAAGTGCCTGATGCCTTGGAAAATGGATCACATGCTGCCCAGAAACTACCGGATTGATCCTGGATGAACATGAAAGACACATTTTTGTACAGAAGGCCCAATGCCCATCTTGGGGGGTTGAAGCAACTCCCTTTTTCCGTGGTTCGACCCGAGTAACCCACACGGCACGGCCCAAGCTTCTGCATCACCATTGTAGAAACAGAGATATGACAGAGATGGTATAGCATGGGCACTGGTCATGGCGGCTGGCACCCCACGGAAGAACACAAGTGCTGCCCTTGTTGCACTCATTGCTGGAATTTTCTCAATTGTTTTGGTGGGAATCAAGACATATCAGGATTCATTTTTGACCGCAAACCTGGCAACCACCAGAACCAACGCAACTAGTGATGCAACCCACCAAGCCTTACCAAGCCTTACCAAGCCATCCAAATCATCCAACCATCCACAGGCCTTCGTCCTTCCGCTGAGGACTTCTTCTGGGGTCAGTCTATGTGTGCTGTCAATAGAATGGTCCTGAATAGAAAAGAAAAACAAACTAAGGACCTACAGGAGACTTCCACATCACATTTCTATTAATGGCATTTAATGACATTCCTACAACATTTTGTTTGTTTTGCTGCGGGGTCCAGATGTGGTTGGCAGCCGGTTGGATTCGAAGAGTGATAAGTGTTGATCCTGGGAAGACTTGAACATGATTTTTTGCTGAGCTTCATGGCAACAATCAGCACCGCAAAAGTGGTGATACAATTAAGTGATGAATCACAGTGGTGATAACCCAGGTACAAATGGGAGGAATCCCAGTTTAGGGCGCTCGTCCGCACTAAAGTAGGAATCTGTTTGGGATACACGGGTCCACTGCTGCCGCATTCGTCACTGTGTGGCTGAGCCAGGTGAAGGAAGGATTGCTGAACCTGGTCCTTTGCCCCAGGGGATCCGAAGTTGGCAACTGCTGAAACTGCTGAGAGAGAGAGAGAGAGAGAGAGAGAGAGGGAGAGAGAGAGAGGGAGAGAGTGTGACTTACTCCTGGGTTTGTTTAAGGTGATCCTTTACTTTCCCACTGAGAAATCCACCATGTGGGAAATCTATACGGCCATAGTGATTTTTTAAGCCCCTTAATACGCAAATCCATGTAGTGGAATAGATTTTGAATAGGTGATAACGTTCTCCTCCAACTTGTGCGAACAGGAGAAACTGAAGATATTGAAGATACAACAGGATGCTGCCACTTGTTACTATCTATCTCCATCTATACGCTCCACTCAAGAATTACGGTATCCCAGTAGGCCGCTTGCTGTGGGTTCGGAGCTAGAGTGCTTTGCGCAGCGATGCAAATGAGGCCAGACATTGAGGGAGAAATTCACCAAATTGGGGTTGCGCGCCTTGACTGCATTGACACCATCGATCCCAATTACTGTCTCCCTGCTTTGTACTGGTTGATTGATGGATATTGATGGATTGATGCATTTGGTTGCTCTGACGAACTATGGTGGTGGCTGGTGGTAAAGGTAGCTTCCCCTTAACGGTATATACTTTAGGTATTATGCATTTGTCATAAGCGTATAAACTTATAAAGTTAGACTTATATAGATGCATACCGACGAGAAATTCGCGCAGGAGGCCCTGTTGATTGTGTTTGGTGTAGATGAGCAGGTGCGCTGGTAGCCAGCCCAGCCACTGGTTCTGAATGCCTGTGACTGACTGGATGTTTAGGCTCACTTGACCCCTTGACCCGGCTTTGCCCGGCTTTGCCGTGCCATGGCCGCCATGGCAGTGCAGCAGGAACTTGCTGACTTGAGCGCAGAGGTCAAAGAACTCCGCCGGGAAGCTTCCAGCATTGCCAATGCCACGGAGCAAACCTTGGATGAATTGCTGCAACACATGGAGGCCTTGCAGAAAGTACAGGCAGATGCTCGTGATGCCCGTAGCCAAACCCTAAGGGCCCAAAGCCCTGGCGGCCCTGGCATTCCTGGCCGCAGCTCCAGGATGAATGTTGGCCAACGGCCGCGGCCCCAGGTGCTTGACGCGTCTAGTGATGGGCCCTGGAAATCCCGCTTTGAAAACTTTATCTTGAAACAGCGGGAGCAAGCGGAGAGGTTGGCGGCAGCATCTTCAGATACCTGAATTTGCGGAGAACCTTATTTTGGAGTTCCCCAGGGGTTAACCTACCAATTATTCAAGGCCCCAGCAACAATAGAGTAGGTGAATCCACCATATTGTGTGGAATTTGCAGGGGTATTTTTGATACATTTTGTTCAACCTTCAACTCGAGCAACTCCAAGGATGAAACCAGCCAGCGCCTAGAGCAAGCGCTAGCCGATGCGACCTTTGTAATCGAAGATGCAGATTGCACACCATCAATGCGAAGGTTTCTGATGACGACCTTGCAGATGTTAAATGCATTAGCTGCTGCTGAATCCCGGCGGCGGAGTTTGTTAGCCCCGTGAAGGGTCTTGAATGCATGGCATTGGAGGAAAATGCGGCGAGTCCAAGAGGGTACGGGTCAAGATTTGGGTGCCATTGGCAGATTTTCGGCAACTTGCAGTATAGTGAACAGGTGCTGGAAGAAGTAAAGAATCTGCAATTCCCCGTCTACACAGCTTGCCAGGAGCCTATAGCATGTTGCAGCAATTGAAAGTTGTGAAAAAACAGTCGCAACCTTTCACCAGCCCCCAAGGTGAATCCCCTAGTATATCCCAATATTAGATGAGCATAGATGAGCCAAGTGGTTGTTGGTGGCTAAGATTTATTCAGACAATTTGCTGCTGCTTCCCTAAGGTAAGGAAGTTGAAAGGTGCACGTCTGGACATGTAGTCATGGTTCCACAGATGTTGGACATCTTGGGCATGAGGCACTGCGCAAATGACAGTGCCTTGAATTTCACTTAAGAGAATTCAGAAGATGTCATCCATTGTCATCCCCTCTTCCGTTTGGCCGCGCCATCTTTTTATGATGCTGGAGCCAACTTTCAGGGACCCAGTGAAGGACTGGGCAGCTGACTCGATGTTAAACCGGGCTCAAAGGGCCCTCCGACAAGAAAAAACCGTCTTGTATGACATGGTCAAAGCATTGGCAGGGCCCATACTGTATCACTATTATCACTGAGCAGCGGCGCACAGGGACACGGATTGAGCCTCGCCTCTCAAAGTTCCTGAAACTTGGGCCACCCGTGCGGCACGAAAAGCTGGGCAAATTGTGAGGAACGCATGGTTGATTGCCGTGCATGTTTTGCTGGGATTTGCTTGCTCAATCTCAGCGTAAAGCTGTCAGCTGTCAGGTCATTTTGATGCGTTTGGTTGGCTCAAGAGAAAGGATGAGAAAGGAATGTGCAAGGGTTATTGTCATCCCAAAGACGTGGGCCTTCATATCCTTCATGATGAGTTGCTTCAGCAGATGAATAGATTTCGCAAGTGCCTGATGCCTTGGAAAATGGATCACATGCTGCCCAGAAACTACCTGATTGATCCTGGATGAACATGAAAGACACATCTTTGTACAGAAGGCCCAATGCCCATCTTGGGGGGCTGAAGCAACTCTCTTTGTCCGTGGTTCGACCCGAGTAACCCACACGGCACAGCCCGAGCTTCTGCATCCTATCATTGTAGAAACAGAGATATGACAGAGATGGTATAGCATGGGCACTGGTCATGGCGGCTGGCACCCCACGGAAGAACACAAGTGCTGCCCTTGTTGCACTCATTGCTGGAATTTTCTTAATTGTTTTGGTGGGAATCAAGACATATCAGGATTCATTTTTGACCGCAAACCTGGCAACCACCAGAACCAACGCAACTAGTGATGCAACCCACCAAGCCTTACCAAGCCTTACCAAGCCATCCAAATCATCCAACAATCCACAGGCCTTCGTCCTTCCGCTGAGGACTTCTTCTGGGGTCAGTCTATGTGTGCTGTCAATAGAACGGTCCTGAATAGAAAAGAACAAGACCAACCAACGAACCCAAATGCAGTCACGTAAAACACTTTTGTCAAACAAACAAATTCATTTCGAGGGTTTAGATTTCCACTACCTTCAGGGGTTGGTTGGCCCCCTGTACAATTGCGTTTTCGGGGCTCAAAACGTAAAGAAAATTGGGGCTGCCCCCCCGACTTTGCAATCTTTGTAGAGCAGTGATGTCCTTGTAGAATCTATGTTTTCCAAACTTTTTTCCAACCAGCATTTGTAGAGGGCCATGTGTTTCAGATAGGTGAGGTGGAGCAGTGGAGCAGCATTTTGTAGGGGTTATTTTTTTTTTGTACAGAAACCGAACGCTTCTTTTTGTAGAAAACCAAATCTTACCGGCTTTTGGTAGAGGGGACTCTTTTGTAGTGGGTGAAGACTTCGAAAGGGGGAAATCTCTGAAAGTCTATGCAAGACCTTTGCTCCCTCAATTAGCCCGGAATCCTGTTGCTTCCTGTTTTTCTTTGCTTTGGCTCATTTGGGGTGTGTTGTTTGGCCTCGCTCTCATTTGCTTGTATGTTTTTCGGTGAGTTTTTCTTATTTGGGGATTTGGGGGTGCGCTTTGCTGTGGGTGTTCCAGGGGTGCATCTTTCCAGTGATGTTTGCACATCTTCTTCGGTTTTTACATGTTTTTACCATCAGATTCTTTTGCATTGCTTGCTTTTGCTGGCTGCTTACCTGTGTCTTGCATTGCCACATCTTTGGCTTTCTGTGGGGACCCTCGTTGTTGTGCATTTGGTGTGTCACCGCTGGAACATGCATAAAGCGACTTTTTTTTTTCAAATTCATCATTCATCTTTGTCAGTTAGGGTTTCCCAGAAGCACGCACGAATCTGTTTGGACGTGCATTTCTTTCGGTAGGTGTCTCTTTGGCCTCGATGAATTTCCGCCTCATTGTAATTGGTGCATATTTTTCATATTTTCCTATGTGCTTGTATGTTTGTTCATGCGTCAATGCATGTCAATGCATTTGCATCAAGAGAATTGCGACACAATGCGGCCAACAAATCACCCAAAGCAAGAACTCTACAAAAAAGGCTGTCCCTTCCTGAAGGCTCTACAAAATGATGTTCTCAATCTTTGTCCTTTGTCGAACCAAGACGCACCAAATGCTCCAACGTGAGGTCAGGGGTGGAAGACACGAGTTGTGAGGGGCACCTGACATATTTTTTTCGAAGAATTGTTCTGGCCAGAAATCAAAAGAATAACTTCTTCTATGAGAACAGGGAGTCTACTTTGGAGGGACATGGAGGGACCATAATGGAGGCTGAACAACTGTAAACACGTAAATACGTACCAATAGTTTCAAATAATCATATAATATCCTATAATATCAATTTGCGCAAAATAAGCGGGAACAATTACAATCAGCAACATGCAAAACACACAACAGTATATATTAATAATTATTAATATATAATCAACACAATTTAAACGTATATATATATAATATATATATACACCTTTTTTTGGGGGGGGACCCAGCTGGATTTTCCTTTAATTACCTTTCAATATTGAGAAACATGGAAAAACACATAGACACCAATATAGCCATAATTAGAGAAATAAAAGATACACAATAAAATTGACAAAAACTAATAAGTAAATGAAATAGCGATATTAGATTCAATAAATCAATGCCACCTTCGAAGGTAAGTATCATTTTCCAAAGCTATGAGTGACATGCATTTTGTAGAGGTGCAGTTTCGACCCCAAAAAGGTGGTGTCTAAAAACCTCACCAAGCATTTTAGTGAACTCTCCACTGTCCACTTTCCCCAGAGATACCCAAAGCACACTCCACTTTTCAGATTCTTTCTGCGATTTGTTCTCATCGGCTTGAAACCTACCAAAGGTTTCAGCGTTTTTGTACACTTATCATAAATGAGCTTGGGGCTCATATTCAAAGGATCGATCATACGTATTCAGACATGGATTGATAGCAGGCCAAACTGCAGTAAAGCAGTGGAATTGTGGAGCCAAACTGAACAGAATGGAAGAAACTCTGCTAGGGTGCCTCGAGATACTGTACATACTTTCCAGCATGCATTTTGTAGAGCTGTTTTTTTTTCGCCTGAACAGCATGTAGTTGTAGACCCCTTGCAGCAGGTTGGCACTGCACTTTGTACTAAAAGGAGTGTGTGTTTTAATTTGTACCTACTCCATGGGGCGGCGGCAACTGACCCCCCGAACCCAAACAACCAGAAAAATTCAACATTTGTGTACATTCTTCCCCTGTTACCGTACCAGTGAGACTGTGGAGTGTGGAATGGGGTGGAGTGCAGAGTGCGGAGTGTGAATAAACAGTGGAGTGTTGAGTGGCGAATGTAGTGTGTAGACTGTAAAGTGGGAATTGTGGAGTGTGGAGGGTAAAGTGTAGAGTGTGGAGTGTAAAAAGAAGTGTGGAGGGTAAAGGGTAAAGTGTAGAGTGTGGAGTGTCAGGTGTACAGTGTGAAGTGTGGAGTGTAAAGTGTCAAGTGTAGAGTGTGGAGTGTCAAGTGTCAAGTGTAAAGTGTAGAGTGTGGAGTGTCAAGTGTACAGTGTGAAGTGTAACGTGCAGAGTGTCAAGTGTACAGTGTGAAGTGTAACGTGCAGAGTGTAGAGTGTGGAGTGTAAAGTGTATGTGTAGAGTGTGGAGTGATGTGAAGTGTGGAGTGTAAAGTGCAAAGTGTGGAGTATAAAAGTGTAGAGTGTGGAGTGTAAAGTGTAGAGTGTGGAGTGAAAAGTGTAGAACGTGAAGTGTGAAGTGAAGAGTGTGGAGGTGGAGGGTAAAGTGTCAAGTATTGAGTGTGGAGTGTAAAGTGTAAAGCGTGTAGAGTGTGGAGTGTAAAGTGCAAAGTGTGGAGTGTGGAGTGTAAAGTACGGAGTGTAAAGTGTAGATTGTAGAGTGTGGAGTGTCAAGTGTAAAGTGCGAAGTGTAACGAACAGAGTTTAGAGTGCGGAGTGTAAAGTGTAGAGTGTCAAGTGTAATGTAAAGTGAAAAATGTGAAGTGTTAAGTGTGAAGTACAAAGGTGTGGAGCGTAAAGTGCAAAATGTGGAGTCTAAAGGTGTAGAGTGTGGAGTGTAAAGTGTAAAGAGCAGAGTGTGGAGTATAAAGTGTGGAGTGTGAACTGCAAATGGTAGAGTGTGGAGTGTATAGTCTAAAGATGTGCAAAGTGAGTGTGGAGTGTAAACTGTAGAGTGTGGAGTGCCAAGTGGAAAGTGTGGAGTGTGAAGTTCAAAGTGTAGAGTGTGGAGTGTAAAGTGTCAAGTTAGAGTGTGGAGTGTAAAGTGTAGAGTGTGGAGTGTAAAGTGTAGAGTGTGGAGTGTAAAGTGTAAAGGGTAGAGTATGGAGTGTAAAGTGTGGAGAGTGAATTGTAAAGTGTAGAGTGTGGAGTGTAAAGTGTAAAGTGCAAAGTGCGGAGTGTCAAGTGTAAAGTGTAAAGTGTGAAGTGTAGAGTGTAAAATGCAAAGTGCAACGCGCGGAATGTAGAATGTGGAATGTTGATTGCGGATGTGGAATGTCAACTGTTGAGTGTAAAGTGTGGAATGTGAAGTGTGGAGGGTGGAATGTGGAGTGGCATGTGAAATGTTCAATGTAACAGTGGAAAGCGTGGAAGGTAGAGTGGGGAGGGTCGAGTCTAGAGTGGCAAGTTACAACATCACCAAGTACCGCGCCTGCCACGCAAGACGGCACTCTTACAATTCCCCACGCCTACCACGCAATTTGCACGTTGTCAGTTGTCACCACTTGGCACGCCCTGACAGTGAAATTCGCAAAAACACGCAACACGACACGTCTAAAGTTCTGCGCCTGCCACGCGAAGTGAACATGAACACGTCCAAAGTGCTGCGCCTGCCACGAAAAATGGAACTCATTTTCTGAAAACCTTGCAAAAGTATTGCACCTGTCACACAAAACGACTTGCGACACTCTTGCAGACAGACATGTGAGAATGTCACGAAGTGCCACGCCTGCCATGCAAAACGACATTGCAACATATGACAACCTTCATTTCTGAAACCTTCAAAAATGACGGGTTTTGACATTTCCCCACAAGCACGGCGACGCCACAAGAAAACCACACGTTGTAGCTACAAAATAGAGTTTTCCTAATGAAACCCAAAATCTGCTACCTCAAAATTGATGTTTGGTGTGAGGCTTCCGTCAATTTTCATCACATGTCACAATTGTCACAATATGCCACGCCTGCCACGCTTGCCACGCAATTTGCACATGTGATTGGCAAAAACACGCAGCACGAGACGATAGAGGTTTCCAAGTGCTGCGAAACCTCAAAAAGTGACCACTTTTCCAGCAGTCGCTATAGGCGCGGACGGTTGCCGCAGTTGCCGACGGTTGCGAACATGAGAGCAGCGTCCCGCGAACACGTCCCAACCCCTAGACCCCCAAAGTAAAACGAGAACCCTTCGCTACGCATTCAGGGGAAACAAATTTATGGACCTACTGTACAGGAGAATTCCACATCACACATTTTTATTAATGGCATTCCTACATATCCTACAGCATTTTGTTTGTTGCGTTGCAAGGCGCACAGCGGGCCTGAAGATGGACCGCATTCGGTCGAGAAAAGTGGTTGGAGACATAGACATAGATACAGTAAGGATCCGTAAGGTACTATGAACTACTGCCTGGCCAAGATGTGGTTGGCTTCCGCAGCCAGTTGGATCGAAGAGTGAGAGGTGTTGATCCTGGGAAGGCTTGAACGTGTTTTTTTTTGCTGAGCTTCATGGTGACAATTTGAGTGAGCTCATACCACACAGAAAGTACTTGTCGTAGAGACTCTGTGGTCACACGCTTTCCATGGCGGAAGTCGAAGCTGCTTCGGCAGCAGAAGTTCTCGCTGGACTCCCCAGGGATGCTGACTTGGCTGACGTGGCCGATAGGCTAAGATCTCTGCACAGCTGGCTGTACGAACCAAGGCTGGTGACACGCACTCTAGCTCGCTTGGCGGCATCCCAGGCATCAACTGCACTTCAGGTCTTGAATTACATGCAATCTCAGAAGATCGAGTCCAATGCATTCCACTACACTGCTGTAATAGCTGGCTGTGCGCGCAGCGGCTCCTGGAGGGTAGTAGGAAGCTTGCTGCAGCAAATGGTTGAACAGCAAATTCAACGGGACTCAGTGACATTTAATAGTGCGATCAATGCATGTGGGAAGAGCGCACAATGGGAAACCTCCGTGCTATTATTGAAACGCATGGTGGACAGCAATCTGACCCTGGGCACCGACACCATGAACTCTGTGATGGGAGCCTGTACTGCAGCAGGTCAGTGGGAATGGGCCCTTTGGATGTTTGGGACGACGTTGGGATCCTTGAGTCCGGATGTGATCACCTTTTGTTCAGCACTGGCTGCTTGTGACAAGGGCAGTCAGTGGAGGCGCTCTTTACAGGTGTTGGCATCCAGTGCTTCAAGCTCTGTGCAGTTGGACAACTTCGCTTACAGCGCCGTGATTTCGGCTTGTGCCACTGCAGAGCGTTGGGAGTTTGCCTGTGGCCTTCTTGAGAACCTGGGGAAGAAAGCAGTGTTAGCAGATCTGGTGACGCATGGTGCGGTCCTGAAAGCCCTGGGTGCTGGGAAGGAATGGGCCATGGCACTGGCACTTTTTTTTGACCGAACAAACCATGAACTCAGTGAGGTGACCCAGGTGACCTGCAACAGTGTCATCAATGCATGCTCTACAGGAAGTCAATGGCAGCACGCTTGTTTGCTGTTGAACTCCATGCCGGACCTTGGAGTTTCACCGGAAGATGTGAGTTACAACACGGCCATTAGTGGATGTGTCCGAGGCCATGCCTGGCAGCAGGGCTTGATGCTGTTCAACCAGATGCACCAAGCGTTGGTGGAGCCCGACCATATCAGCTTCAACAGTGCACTCAGTGCCTGTCACAAGGGTAGCCAGTGGCAGCTTGGGCTCACCTTACTGGAAGAGATGTCAGAATGTAGCCTTCAGCCTGATGAGTTTAGTGTCACAACAGCCTTGAGTGCCTGTGAACTTGCTGGCTGGCAACTGTGCCTCCAGGTGCTCTGGAAGCTTGAGAGGCGCACAGACGTCACGCCGATCATGTTCGGGGTGCTGATGAGCGCTTGCGAGCGCGACAGTGCCTGGGCAGCTGCCCTAGCCACCTTGGATGCCATCATCTCAAAAGACCTGATCCCAGACGCTTTACACGCAGGATCTGCGGCCAATGCCCTGCGCAAATGCCAGGGGCCACAAGCAGCTCTGGAGCTCCTGGGGCAGATAAAGGAACTTTGGAGTGATGCGTGGGCAACAGCAGAGCACTTTCCAGGAAAGCCGAGGTGGGAAGCATCTAGTAAGATCATTCAGGTTGGTCAAGGAGTGGTGGCATGTTTCAAGCCAGCTGGGATTGCCACGGAGGTTTTTGTGGAGGATTTGGCTGATGAGGTGGCGGTATCCAAGGAGGCGTTTAGCATAGTGTCCAGGTTGGATCATCCAACTTCTGGCATTTTGATGGTAGCACTGGGCTTGCAAGGTTCTCCAGCTGCCAATTGGCTGCAGGGGCAATTTGCCAGCCGCTTGGTTGACAAGAAGTACATTTGCCTTTGTGAAGGTTTGCCCTTGGGCAGTGTTGGTGCCACGGGCAACATTTTTAGCCCGTTGGCTGCAGATGAGGTTCGCGATTGCATGGTGGTGCCAGAGGCAGGTCGTTTGGGTCGTGAATCTTGGACAAAGTACCGGATCCTCGCCAGGTACACAGCCCAGGAGGCTTCACCCTATGAGCTGATGTTGCTGGAAGTGAAGCCCATCACTGGGCGAACGCATCAGATCAGAGTTCACATGGCCCACTTGGGTCGTCCACTGGTAGGTGACCTGACCTATGGGGCCAAAGACCTTTCAATTCTTCCGTGTGAGCGGCTCTTCCTGCACTGTCGGCGGGTTCAGTTGCACGATTTTTCGGACCAGATGTTTTGCGCCGTTGCCAGCTTGCCTTTTGAACTGCGGCAAGTTCTCGCAAAGTTGCAGCTCATGCCGGCTGCATCCGGCCGCAAAAACGGCCTCTGCCGGGCAAAGGAGGGAGATGCCTGAACAGACAGTGTCCTCATCCTCACCAGTGAGGATTTTTGGCCAAATCATCCTGGTCAATGCCAGGTAATCAGCCGCGACTATGATCCCCGTTTGGATTCATTTAGTGATTCTTTGTTACGAGTAGCTAGTAGGGGCCCATCAAAGTCAAGAGTCACGAGCCGACTTGGGAGGAGCCTGCTCCTTTCAGCGCCTCGACTTGGGACAGGCTGGGCCGTTGGCGAAGAAATATCCTTGTGCATCCTTATGCCTAATGCAGCTGACTGCTGCCGTCAGGCTACCTGAAGCTGCTACCAGCTCGCTGGCCAGCAATCTTGGCATACCAGCCATGGGCTGAATATGTGGAAACGGTACGGCATGGTACAGAATGATACAGCTTACCCAATTATTTCCAGCTTCCTTCAGTCTTATGAAGCACATAGCAATCCTTCCGACATGTAGGACCTGAAGCAATGTTGGCAAACGAGCCCGCGGTGGCAACGCAGCCTTTGGTCACCTTACATGGACCGGGACCATGGTCAAGAGTCAAGCTGTTTGCAGCCTGATGTTGTGATGACCGGCCCAACTAACCCAACCCAACCAGCATCAACGACATTCAACGACTGAGAGGATTCATATTTCATCCACCACGATCCCACAAAGCATGATCTTGTCATATTGGAGTTTTCCGCGGAGGAGTCTGAACTCTGGAACAGGGATTTGGGGAAGCTCCGTGGCATGACATGGAGGGCCTGGAGCCATAGACGTGACGACATCGTCGTTTTTTTCTCAAAAACTCAGCGATATTTTTCTGAGGTTTTGCTTCTTGAAGGGTCTTGCACTTAGATACCATGAAGTTTGGGTGGCATGAGGTTCTTTGAGCTCAACTTCGCTAACTTAGCAGGTCCAGTTTTGAGCATCATCCGGGTTGCTTTGCCACACAGTTTTGATGACTGGTCTGAGGCTGAACCCCAAGGCGCCGCAGCACGAATGTTTGAATACGTGGAGTATCTATGTCTATGAATATCTTGGTAACAAAACCCAGCTTGTGGTATTTGAAAGTATTTGATATGTATTTGATATTCGGTTTGGGGTCCTTTATTTTTTTTGGGGGGGCATTCGCTATTGTGGGGGATCGGATTGCTAGTTGCGCTGCTTGGATGTGAGGCATCGCAAGACTTTTCCGCTTCTCTTAGGGCTCCGTGTCCATACGATGGAGTGGGAACCCTAGGATGACTCCACTATGACTGTGGAACTTTGAAACGGAATCATGCAAGGTAGGACAGTTGTGTGTTGGTGACAGTTTTGATTCATTTTCCCTTTTTTCTTTAGTTGAAATTCGATATAATTCGATGTTTCTTGCCACAATCTCTTCAAATTTAGTTGGTCGAAATCATATCCCGGTGCCATGGGGGCCCGCTTTCCGCGACGGCTCACGGTGCAGCCATGTGCAGCCTAGGTGATCCGTCGCGACCTGGCCCGGACACTGCCCAAGGAAGAGCTCTTCAGGGAGAAAGATGGCACACGTCCCAAGAATGATGGAAGTTGAAGGAACATGATACACTGTGATACACATCGGCTTCCAATGGTTTCCAATGGTTTTCAATGGTTTTCAGCTACAAAGGTTGTGGTTCCAAGCATTTTCAAGCAGCAGGTATGGGGATTTGAAGCGATGATTTTCATCAGATTTTTGAGCAACAAGAAGATGCATTGGAAGAAACATGGGTTGCATGGGGGGTGATGCAAAGAACAACCCACCTGAGAAGCCCACGCTACCAACATGTCTGTAAGGAGTTACAAGGAACAGCAAATCCACAAAACCTCCCACAAGTTGGGATCTTACCCTAAGATTCCACAAATATAGAAAGACTCTGCGAGAATAAAAAAACACCAGGAAGTGACCAAATGCAAAGAGAAACCTGCGACTATGACAAGGCAAAGGGCAGCAGAGTTTGTTTCGAATTCTCCGAGCGCTTGCAGTGCTGGAACCTCAAAGCTGTGACCGTCACTGTGACCTCAAAGGGCTCCAGGGCCGGGGCAAAAATGGGACGCATAGATATCTTAGATGTGATTTCTTCTGGTTTCTTGGTTGTTACGGATTAAATCCACCAGTTCTAGGCATGGCCCAGGACAGAAAACTGATGGCATCCGGCCTCGGGATCTCTTTGCTATGAGGCACTTGTGGGACATTGGATATGTCCAGAGTCTCAACTTCGTGGTCGCAACGCTCATTGTAGCTGGATCCCAAGATATCCAAAGTCACTGAGCTCTTTTCGAGAAGCAGAATAAATAAATAAGACATTTATAAATATTTATAATAGCTAAATCTGTGTGCATGCTCATGGGGATGTATGCATTGGTGGCAGCACATGCATCCTGAATTCTAGCAAATTACACATCTCCACATCTCCCCCCTCTGTATGCAGCCTAGGTTTTGTCAGAAGAGTCAGAGGTGTGGTGGGAAATCAGAGTCAAAATCATATCCCAATGACGCAAAGACTCACCCAGCAGAATATGTCTCTGCTGGAGGATGTGATCTTCCGCTGCGCGCAAGCGCTGCTTTTCCGTTGGAGCACCAAGGGTGGAACACTTACATAAAAGTTGGGAAGTGGTAGTCAAGCCTTGGTACCTGGGGTTCTAACATGAGCAGCCTCTAGGATGGAGGGTTTTCAACTTTATTTTTCCATGATTTCGATGTGATTCAGATGTATTAAGATATGTTTTGTTTTAATGATTTGTTTGTGGCCTGGTTTTGCAGCCATGAGTTTGATATGCGGTTTCAGTATGTTTCAGTTATGATTTTGATATGGGTCGAAATTGTGATTTTCATCTGGGTCAAAGCTGTGATTTCTGTGTTTCGATTGTTTTGGAACTGTCTTGAAACCATATCAGACTTCTATCAAAATCGTATGAAAACCATATCAAAATTATCAAAACTATATCGCAAACATATCAAAACCATAATAAAAACCTTTCAGAAACCAACCCAAAGCGTGTCCAAGGGTTGCTTCTGTTCACTGGAACCCCCAAAAAGCTGCTTGCCCCAATATCGAAACCATATCAAAATCATATTCCAAATTCAAAGCCTATCAAAAAATATCTTAACATATCAGCACCGTTTAAATTCAAAAGAAATATTTCGTGAATTTGGCTTCCTAGAGGGATTTTGATTTTATAAACCTGGGATGTTTAAATGTCTCACCGCCAGATGTATACCATGATTACCATGGCATATCAACATGGGATGTATGGCAATGGGATGGCAATGTATGGGATGGGATGCAACCGCGGCTGTCGTCTGAGGCCACTCACTGGCCGATTTCTACAGGCCACGTTTTCCCAAATTGGGGGTGACAGCTTGAAACCCAGCTGCTGTGCTCGGAAAAACTATGGAATTATGGAATTCTGAAAAATCTGGAAATATGATGAAATATGATGAAAGATATGAAATATATGGATGTCCATGCATGTCGGTTTTTTTTGATTCCCTTGAATCAACCGACAATGATTCTCATGTTTGCACCAGTTGCGTCATGTGGTTTGGTGAGAGCCCCCATCTATTCTATTTTTCTAAAATACTAACATATCTAACATATCATACCATCATTTGTTGATTAACACCTTCATCTCCTTTGAGGTCTGGCAGTTTGACCGCATTGTAGAAGCCTTCCTTCCTGATGTTCATGCTGCGACTTGGTGCTACCAGGTACTGTACCAGGATGGGGCCCACTGTAAATCATCCCGCTGGTAGGGGTGCACAATAATCAATAAAATCAATAAACCAGTGCCGTTGGTGTTATGGCTTTGTGGATCCATGTGGATCCCACAGAAATCCACAGAACGAAAATTGCAAAATGGTGGATGACTTGGAGCTTCCAACTCATTCGGCTGTTGAACAACTCATGTTTCAACAAGATCCACATTACATTAGCCCGACCATTTCTCAGGTTCTTGAAGTGAATGGGGTGACGGCTGAGTACTATGCAATGCAGTGGTTCCTGACCCTTTTTGCTAGCGACCTTCCACAACGTACAGTGCACCGAATATGGGCGGGTCCCTCAGCAAACGCAGCTGGAGCGAATTGCAACGTTGAACCACTCCACGGCTGAAATCCTCCCTCCCTGAAATCTAGAATGGAATCCATGAAATGGATGTGGAAGATATTCAATTATTATTTTTTCTGCCAGATTTTGCCACAGTTTGCCGCTTTGAGATGTTTTGCGGATTCCATAGTGGATTTCGAAGGTTTTGATAGATTTTGGGTGTGTTGTTGCAGGTTTCGTCACTAAGGACAGATTTTTAATTGCTGGATGGCAAGTGGTCGTGCAGGCGCAGAATCGGAGCTGCAACGCGGGAAGCGGACTTTGCTGGGCCATGGTGAGTGGTTGCTTCATGGATGTTCATGGCTTAGTTTTGAGCCATGAATGGATATGAACAGAGGCAATTATATACTGTTAATGTTATATTATTTTATATTGCTTTCCTGCCAACACTTGCATTTTTATCATTTTTGCAGGTGCTTACAGGTAGCCATGATTGCTTCGGCGCAAGCCGCCAGGTGGGTCTTGCGCTGCTGAAGCAAGTGGCCGATGTGTGGCCCTCACTGCAGGGGGAACCTTGCAGCTGTGGAGGAGTTTGTGTGTTTATATGTGTTTATACAGACGCATTCCGCCGAGGTGTTGCAATCACTGGATGCGTGTGAGACACTGACATTCCTCAAGAAGTTCGTGTTGGAACCATAGTTTTGCACATGCCTGCGCTGGCAAAAGTTACAGCATGTTCTGGCTGATTCATTCTATTCCTTCTCGCAACAGCATTGAATGCTTTCTCGGAATTTGAGACTCCCAAATTCAACAGTGATTTACACTCAAATCCACCATTGAGTATATTTTGTGCGATTATTTTCCCATATGTTCCCATTTTTCGCCAAGGCGGATGAGACGTTTTGAGCTTCCCAGCTGCAATGGGGTCAAGTTGTGTAACACCTGGGTCCGGTTTAATGGGAGTATATAATCAAACAATGATGAAACATGGCAAAATTCATGGGGAAGATGATCAATATAATTACTGTATCACCACGACGCACCCATGACAAACCATTAGTTAATGGTGGATACTACCGCAACATTTGACAGTTTTAATGAGGACATTGACAGCCTTCATGGATCTTTGAGGCCTGAAGTCCTTCTAGCTGATGCGATGCAGTTCGAAGTCTGCGACTTGGGTCGTCGCAAAAAACCCGGCACATCGGACATCGTTTCCAGTTATTTTTCTTCTACTGTAAGTCTTTGTTCCCACGGGGAACGGTTCTGCAAAGCCTTAGAGATTCAATGACATTCACAAATGAATACGCAATTGAGTGTCCCAGAATTCGTTTTTTTTTGGTGTTTTTTTGGCTCTTTTTCGACACCGTTTTCAGCCCTTTGGCCCTGGACGAGGTATCTCATCAGATGCTCTCAGCACTCGAGGCGGCATACAGCTGGGAGCCCTCACGACGGGACGGACATCCAGGGATCAACGATGACTCTGGTTGAAAAATCATCAGGAAGCTATGGCTTTTCCCCATCAAATATATGGGTTGGCCATGGTTGGCCTGTGAATTTCCAATCAATCCAATGAATTGGTCAACGTGGATTGATGTGGATTGTTTCTGACCAGCTGAAGCGTTTCTGGATGTTTGTAGCATGAAAGCCATGTCCATTGGATTCCATTGGCACATGTCGCTATGATCGTGACGATGCTCCCATGAGCCGAGGTTGGGAGAAAAGCGACGCAGAGCCGAAGTTGGTGTTACGGAGGGAAGGCGGGTGTTCAGTGAGTTGTGGGCAATGGACATGCCCAAAAACTGGGGACCCGACCATGTTCCACCATGTCCCACCATGTTCCACCACCAAAATGTACCGACCTAGGTAAAGTTCATATGAATCTCACAAACGCAATTTCAGGAAAACATGTTGAGGGTATCCCGTGTCTTGGACACACCCACATCAATCCCCGAAAAGCCAGAGTTCCTGGAAGGGAAGCTTTTCTGGGAAGTGAGACGTGTGCAAACTGCCGGGGACCCAAGCTCTCTCAGACAGATGGAGAAAAAAAGTGGACGTGATCCCGAGCAGAAGGAATTCATATTGTACCTGGACCATCCATCCATCCCTCCCTCCATTCATCCATACATCTATGGGGCACCCCAGAATGGCAAGGACAGCAATGGTTTGAAAGGGCACGGGGGTCGCATTTGCCCCTAAACCAGCTTGGGTCGCATTTGCCCCTAAATGAAGGGGGATGAAGTGGGTTTAGGGGCGAATGTGACCCTCGTTTAGGGGCGAATGTGACCCCTGCTTTTGCGTGGCAGGCGCAATAGTTTCAGAGCCTCAAAAGGATTTTTTCCACCCTAGAGAGTGATATTCACGTGTTTTTCTACGTTCCAACAGCCATTTCAATCAACTTCCAGGACACTATGCATGCTATGGTGTTCCATTGCTACGTTGTAACATCCATTTCGAGCAACTTCCAAGACGCTTTGGATGTTACCTTCCAAGAGACATTTCAATCAACCTCTAGGACACTATGGATGCTACGTTGTAAGATCCAGTTCGAGCAACTTGGAAGACACTTTGGATGCTACGGTCCAACAGCCATTTGAATCAACTTCCAGCACACTATGGATGCTACGTTGTAACATCCAGTTCGAGCAACTTGGAAGAAGCCTCGGATGCTACGTTCCAACAGCCATTTCAATCAACTTCCAGGACACTATGCATGCTACGGTGCACCATTGCCACGTTGTAACATCCATCTCGAGCAACTTCGAAGACGCTTTGAGTAACATATGGAATAGAGAGACAAGTCAACATATGCCCCCAGGTCCCCCCCAAACCCCAGTCCCCCTAAATGTCCCCTTGTCCCCAGGTTAAACCCTAAAGGGTTGAGTAACATATGGAATAGAGAGACAAGTCAACATATGCCCCCATGTCCCCCCCTAAACCCGAGTCCCCCTAAATGCCCCCTTGTCCCCAGGTTAAACCCTAAAGGGTTGAGTAACATATGGAATAGAGAGACAAGTCAACATATGCCCCCATGTCCCTCCCTAAACCCCAGTCCCCCTAAATGTCCCCTTGTCCCCAGGTTAAACCCTAAAGGGTTGAGTAACATATGGAATAGAGAGACAAGTCAACATATGCCCCCATGTCCCCCCCTAAACCCCAGTCCCCCTAAAAGTCCCCTTGTCCCCAGGTTAAACCCTAAAGGGTTGAGTAACATATTTAAATTATTGTTGTTTAGGGGCGAATGTGACCCTCTTTTAGGGGCGAATGTGACCCCCGGGCACGGGGGTCGCATTTGCCCCTAAACCATCTTGGGTCGCATTTGCCCCTAAATGAAGGGGGATGAAGTGGGTTCAGGGGCGAATGTGACCCTCGTTCAGGGGCGAATGTGACCCCTGCTTTTGCGTGGCAGGCGCAATAGTTTCAGAGCCTCAAAAGGATTTTTTCCACCCTAGAGAGTGATATTCACGTGTTTTTCTACGTTCCAACAGCCATTTCAATCAACTTCCAGGACACTATGCATGCTACGGTGTTCCATTGCTACGTTGTACCATCCAGTTCGAGCAACTTCCAAGACGCTTTGGATGTTACCTTCCAAGAGACATTTCAATCAACCTATGGATGCTACGTTGTAAGATCCAGTTCGAGCAACTTGGAAGACACTTTGGATGCTACGTTCCAACAGCCATTTGAATCAATTTCCAGCACACTATGGATGCTACGTTGTAACATCCAGTTCGAGCAACTTGGAAGAAGCCTCGGATGCTACGTTCCAACAGCCATTTCAATCAACTTCCAGGACACTATGCATGCTACGGTGCACCATTGCTACGTTGTAACATCCATCTCGAGCAACTTCGAAGACGCTTTGGATGTTACCTTCCAAGGGACATTTCAATCAACTTCTAGGACACTATGAATGCTACGTTGTACCATCCAGTTCGAGCAACTTGGAAGACGCCTCGGATGCTACGTTCCAACAGCCATTTCAATCAACTTCCAGGACACTCTCATGCTACGGTGTACCATTCCTACGTTGTAACATCCATCTCGAGCAACTTCGAAGACGCTTTGGATGTTACCTTCCAAGAGACATTTCAATCAACTTCTAGGACACTATGGATGCTACGTGGTACCATCCAGTTCGAGCAACTCGGAAGACGCCTCGGATGCTACGTTCCAACAGCCAGTTCAATCAACTTCCAGGACACTATCATGCGACGGTGTACCATTCCTACGTTGTAACATCCATCTCGAGCAACTTCGAAGATGCTTTGGATGCTACGTTCCAACAGCCATTTCAATCAACTTCCGTCCCCCCCTACACCCCAGTCCCCCTAAATGTCCCCTTGTCCCCAGGTTAAACCCTAAAGGGTTGAGTAACATATGGAATAGAGAGACAAGTCAACATATGCCCCCGTGTCCCCCCCTAAACCCCAGTCCCCCTAAATGTCCCCTTGTCCCCAGGTTAAACCCTAAAGGGTTGAGTAACATATGGAATAGAGAGACAAGTCAACATATGCCCCCATGTCCCCCCCTTAACCCGAGTCCCCCTAAATGTCCCCTTGTCCCCAGGTTAAACCCTAAAGGGTTGAGTAACATATGGAATAGAGAGACAAGTCAACATATGCCCCCATGTCCCCCCCTAAACCCCAGTCCCCCTAAATGTCCCCTTGTCCCCAGGTTCAACCCTAAAGGGTTGAGTAACATATGGAATAGAGAGACAAGTCAACATATGCCCCCATGTCCCCCCCTTAACCCGAGTCCCCCTAAATGCCCCCTTGTCCCCAGGTTCAACCCTAAAGGGTTGAGTAACATATGGAATAGAGAGACAAGTCAACATATGCCCCCATGTCCCCCCCTAAACCCAAGTCCCCCTAAATGTCCCCTTGTCCCCAGGTTAAACCCTAAAGGGTTGAGTAACATATGGAATAGAGAGACAAGTCAACATATGCCCCCGTGTCCCCCCCTAAACCCCAGTCCCCCTAAATGTCCCCTTGTCCCCAGGTTAAACCCTAAAGGGTTGAGTAACATATGGAATAGAGAGACAAGTCAACATATGCCCCCATGTCCCCCCCTAAACCCGAGTCCCCCTAAATGCCCCCTTGTCCCCAGGTTAAACCCTAAAGGGTTGAGTAACATATGGAATAGAGAGACAAGTCAACATATGCCCCCATGTCCCCCCTAAACCCCAGTCCCCCTAAATGTCCCCTTGTCCCCAGGTTAAACCCTAAAGGGTTGAGTAACATATGGAATAGAGAGACAAGTCAACATATGCCCCCATGTCCCCCCCTCCCCTAAACCCCAGGTTAAACCCTAAAGGGTTGAGTAACCTAAATGTCCCCTTGTCCCCAGGTTAAACCCTAAAGGGTTGAGGAATAGAGAGACAAGTCAACATATTGTCCCCCCTAAATTAAATGTCCCCTTGTTTAAACCCTAAAGGGTTGAGGAACATATTTAAATTATTGTTGTTTAGGGGCGAATGTGACCCCTTTTGGTTTAGGGGCGAATGTGACCCTCTTTTAGGGGCGAATGTGACCCCCGTCCCTGACCCCCGTCCCGGTTTGAAAGTTCCACCTATCACTTGCGAGGAGCAGAGGCACATCGACGAAGCTCCAAAGCGTATAAGTCAGGCTGCACAGGCCAGCCTCCAAATTAGTGGGGTTTACAGAATATACCGATCGTAAGGAGGGCATGATGATGGGATGACCGTAACTGTAACCCATGTACCATGTAACTTGACCATGGCAGACATGTTGGCTGATTCATGGTCTTAGATACCTTTGGATTAGTTGAAAGCACCAATCAGTCGAGTGTGGCTTTGTGATTATTGGGACGGTGCAAAACTGGACTTAGGGCAGTTGGGGGCAAGGGGGGCAAGGGACGCAGGGGACGGAGGGGTCATAAGGGGCGCAAAGGGCGGCTATTTTCTTTTGGAACTTTAGACATGCTTTGACAATTCTTACCCTCTGGTAAACTAACATAACTATTATGGAAAATCACCATTTTTAATGGGTAAATCCACTATAAATAGCAATTTTCAATAGCTATGTAACAAATTACCAGAGGGTAACCATCATTGAAGATTTTTGGGTCCCAGAACTTTGACTACCTGGTGATCTGAGTGGAACATAGTGGAACTACTTTCCAGATCCTGCGGGGTGCAGTGCCAAACGCCTCATGGGTGATCACCGATTCACGACCGAAGTCAGACATTTGAACACGACAGGTGTGGCTGGAAAAATCACTTGACAAGAGATGAAACAAACACATTGGTTGAATTATTCAGTGACTTGTTTGTTGGTAGTTGTGATTTAAAACCTAATTTGAGTATTTCCAATGGTTCAAAACATCACTTCAGGATTTTCCTGTTGAGGGCATACAGGTGTATACGGTATAATATTACACAATTTTCAGATAATAATGATGTCCCATTTTGGGACCCATGGACCATCATGGACCCGGCCGAAGCCAGGCGAATCTCCTTCCGTTTCTTTTGCACAACCTCGACACGGGCGAAACCACCATCCTCGAAGAGGAGTGGAATACGTGCCTCTATGGCCATGGATCAAAGACCAGCCTTGGCTTCAGTGTTTACCACATTATGGGTATACCATGGTACACCCAAATCAGACGGTTTATCACGGTTTATCATCATTTTCACATATTTTCACCATGAAAGAACGCATTTCCATTTGGATCATTTGAGGTATGCCCAATTTAAAGACAGACCCTTACCATTGGTCGCTTTCCTGTGCGCTTTGCAGGTACTTTCGACATTGGGGCATGACCCTGAATGCAAGCTGGACGGGGCTGACAGATGCTGACAGATGCTGACAGGTAAATCTCAAGGGCTGACAGTTGGAGGGAACATCAAAGGGAAACGATGGTTTCTAACACCAATCGAGTCTTCCCGTGAAAATTATCCCTTCAACCAATTCTGGGATGGTAGGAACTCAGGTCATGGCCCACTGATATCCCACTGATTTTGGAGCTTTCGATTCTCAGAAACACCTCTAGTAACTAGTAACCGCAGTGTGTAACCACCATGTAATGCGTAATGGCGTTGTTGATTTTATCATATGTTATCCATCTTCCAGAAAATATTAAAATCGCACATCAATTGGTGGATGATTTGGATTCTCCCCAAGTCTTGGGGCGCAGGAGGCAGCGACCGCGGCTGTCGCTATGCACAAGGCCGAAGGCGCCGCTGCTCTCAGTGGCAGCCACTGGCTGGAAGGGCGACAACGTCAGCAGCCCAGTGACCTTTCCATGCGGGCATGGCACGGTGGACGGTTGGGAATGAAGCAACGAAATTGGGGCTTCAGCTGCAACTTCTGGAAACTTCGGATTTTGATCAGCAATGATCGATACTGTCGTCGATACTGGTTGATAAGGCTCATACCAGTATCATATCTAAATAGATCTTAGATGATCTTAGCATCACTCTGGATGATTAAAATCTGGTGAAACCTCCGAAACGATCAGTGACGGCAGCATAAAAACATTGGCACGATGATGCACGATGGCTTGAGGTGAGGCCCTTCGTGCACTGGGAAAGGCTGGAAGCTCGTGAAATTCATGGTGTGGATAGAAGCCTCAGATACCCTCTGGTAAACTAACATAGCTATAGAAAATCCACTATAAATGGCCATTTTCAATAGCTATGTGAAATTACCAGAGGGTATCAGAGACAGTGTGAAATCGCATCGCTCGATTTTCGTTTGTCCTGAAGAGAGGCTTCTCCAAGATTTGACACATGCCTTTTTGATTGGCTTTCCTTGCGCCAACCAGGAACATGTAGAATGTATATATATATATTATATGTATATATATATATATATTTGGCAAGCCCAAGCATAAACCCCAAGTTGAGCCTTTTTGTATGCAGGCATGCTTGCAATGAACCACCTCCAATTAGAGGTTCATCCCATGGCCAAGGTTTGACTGACTCAGCCTGGCCAATGGCCATGGCTGCATTTCTCACGTCCGGCGCTTGCGTAGCATTGGCTAGTGATTCGCCATGGCTAGTCATTGAGGTTCGTCCAAGGGGTCCGCTCCATTTCTCAGTGAAACGAAAACTCATATTTTGATTACTTTGGGGGAGTGATGGTTTTGACCCATAGCAATTTGGATTGTAGCTCCATCCTGGGATTTCAATGGAGTCTACACATGTTTATCCTTGTTTGATGCCATGGTTCTCTGTCACAAATTTCTTTCTTTGATGCGCTAAATAGACAGCTAATGATTGCTGGCTGGTTTGGGTCCAAGAGGATTCCTTTCCTGTGAGCATTTTCACCCAAGAAGTATCCCAAGGATCCCAAGGTAGTGGCCTGAAGCATCCACCATCGTATAACCTTGACCCAAACCATCGTACAGATGCACAGTTTCACTTGGCCTTTCGAAAGGCTTTTTGCAGGTCAGAGGGGCTCCCCATGCCTCTCCATGTACAGCTCAGTGGCAAAATTGGCGCAGCGATTGGGCGGATGCCAAGGTCATGGTCCGAATGATCATGCAGATGATAGCCAATTGGCACACAATGGAGTTTCATTTCCATGAACTCCATCCCTTAAAACAAATGAGGTTGCAGTGCAATCACAATCCAAAAATCCCTACTCTTCGGAGTGTGGATGAAAGCATCCTATAGGTCCTATAGATCCTATGTCATCCTCATAAACCAGTGAACACACCAGTGCTCTCTATATTGTATTCACCTCAATTGAGCCGGTCCATATTCCCCTACTATGCTTTTGTGACCCCAAATTAGCTCGTTTCGTTTTGTGCGTTGGTGTGCGAACGGTTCAAAACTGATTTCGTCAGTTGGAGTTCCTTGATAGATGTCTTCTACCAATTTCAGGCTGGCAATGTACTTATATATTTTGTTGTTGCACAATCGTATCGCAGTATCGCATGTACTGTGTATATACGTAGTTTTCACCTTTGACTGTGGCATGGCTCAAGTAAAATATGCATTGCAGAGTGTAGCTGGATTTGTGGTAAATATAGGCTGTTTACCCGTTTCAATACATTTCATTTTTGCATGTTTTGGCAAAAGGCCACCGACACAAGTAGCCTGTATTTATTTACACGTTTCGAGTTTCGAGCTCTTATTTCTTTTCATTCTTGTTGATCTAGAATCTAATTTTGATTCCTTAAACCCCTTACCCTGTCTGCGACAAGCACAACATTTTCACTGGTCCAGTGTAGTTCCCCCTTTCATTTTTCTGACTCAGCAAGACCACGAACGGTTGCAAACACAACAGTTGCTCTAAGCCTTTAGGCATCGTTTGCCATGCTATGGTAGCCAACGTGCTGCCATGCTCGGAGTAAAACTCATGGATGACATCAAGGGCGAAAGGCCGGAACCCCAGCTTCAGCAGTCTGAGAAAAGAATGGCATGGAAACAATACTGGCATGGATGGATAGATCAATTTGACGTAGATAGACAGATAGGTAGATGGGTAGACAGATAGGTAGATAGATAGAGACATATATAGAGATATTCTATGGACACCAGTGTGCAATAGAGATAAAAAAAGGAGCAACAACACTAATATAGATTAGCAGCTGGGAGGCTGATAGTGGAGAAGGTGTGCATGCCCCTTGCTGTTTTGAAGATCAACGGCAATAGAAATTGTTTTTCTTTCAGCACCAGATCTTGCCCGAGACTCCGTTCACCAGGTCCTCTTGCCCTCCTGAGTCTGGCTCCGACTCTGGCTCAGCAACTGTTTGGGGCCACAGTTCTCTGCCGCTGAAAAAAACGCCTTGTGTCATGAGCACACAAGGGGTGACGTGGTGACACGGTCATGGCTGGAGCCCTTTGCCAGTGAGGGAAACTTGAAACAATCCCAAGAAGGGGGGTCTTGTAAATGTCTCTAATTTTTTTTGGGTATCATTTAGTAGGCATGCTCCTACAACACCAAATTTTCAATATTTCCCGGGGTCCATAGCCATGCGAGGCTGGCATTTATTCTGGGTTGAGAGGTACTTAAATCAAAACACGGTAGCTGCTTCGCCAATTCAATCGTTCTTCAACCCCCATCATCAAACCGTGTTCCCTTTATGAAATGAATAAGCATTGATAGCCCCGTCCTGTAATCGTAGTTGATGTTCTGCAGCTGGCAGCTCTTTGTCTTGCTCAGGCCTGGAGTACTGACCACTCTGCCATCCGAGGAACTTGTGGACATTGACTGTTTGGAGGTCAGGTTAATTCTTCTTTGCAGTTGGGGGCGGCCCCCTGATCGCAGATACAGCTTCTTATGACTGGAGGCAAGGAATCGCTCCTGGTTATAACTTGATTCATAAGTGATAGGTATCCCTTATTGCACCAGGACGCGAAGGTACCCACTTCATCCCGCTTGCCTCAGGATGCATGTGTACTTTCCTGGCCCTTTGATCCAACATGCAGAGGTCTCGCCCTCTGGCCAGGTGCGCAGTTTACACGTGGACTGGGCGAACATCAGGCCCTTTGACCGTTGGCCGCTGGAGGACGCAGTTGAACCGATTTGAACCCGGGATGCATGCGATTCGGAAGGGGTTGAATATCGGCTGGCAGGCGGCGGGTGTTGCAGTTTGATGCTATTTGGCAGGCCGAAGACACAGACAGAGCCAGTCATGTTTTATTAGAAACCGTTTCAAGTGACGGCCATTGCCATTTCCTAGCTTTGATCCGCAAGGCTCCGCAGCCCCAGCTACTTTTGCAGTCGGTTACTTAAGGGCCATTGGACGTTGCAGTGGGTTTTGTTCTCACACGCCTGACATGACAGTGGCTGCTGGCACATGTCTGCCAACGACAACGAAGCTGAAATGTCAGAATGGGAGAGGAAGAAACACAACATGCGACCAAACCAGACTCATGAAAACTGAGTCACTAGAAGGGTCTACTGATTGCTGATGCACCGTGAGAATGTTTCATGCATTTCATCCGACCCTTTGAGCTAGCACACATAGATGAAAATAATATGGGAGGGATTGATGTGGAAACTTGGCCCTTGATATTTTTCTTTCACTCTCAGAAAAGTCTGCTGCATGGGCTTTCCCGCATGTGGTTCGCGAGCGCATCTAAGCTCAGGCGTAGTTTCCATGTTGAGCATCATTGAAGTACTCAACCTGGCAATCTTGGGCAGACTTTGGACAGCAGGGCAGCTTTACACTTGATGCATGCATGAACACCCTAAAATCGTGGGTACGGATCCAAATTAAAGCACCAGAGGACCACACATTGATCTCTACTGTAACGTTCTAACCATCCAACTTTAGGGGTGCCAAAGTTTTTTCTCCAACCCCTTTTTCGACAGATGATCTCAAGTAGAGCCAACGGGACTTACACTCTTGGACGCTTCAGAGTGTTGCTGCAATGATCCTTGGTGCGATGGCCCTGCAGCTCAACGAGCATCCTGTGGTCTAGATGGACAAAAGCGGGCCTGGAAGCAGCAAGCGCCATGGCCAGTGCGTTTGACTTCAGTTGAACCCCATGCCCCCACATATAAACATATATAAACTACCTGGGTTTGTTTAGGCTTATGTTTTATTTTCCAAATGGAAAATCCACATAAATCCACCATTTGGGGAATCTAGAATGAATATATTTGTATTTTTGGGAGACCCCTTAAGCAAATCCAAGAATACCTAACTCAAACCTCTGGTCTCATTGGGGGCGGCGATGGGATTGTTTGGTTCGGGTGAAGACATGGCAAATCATGGCAACATTGAAGGCCATCCCAAAAAACCGTTGGATTGTTTGCAAGATTTTTAAGTATAATATAAATATAAATCATCCATTGTTGGTGCCGAACATTTGTTGATCCTCAAATTGGATGATTTTGTTCAACACCGAACATTGCCAAAAATGGCCAATGTTTGATTCGATTGGCATACCATTGTGCATCGCAAGCAGTGGCCCCGTGGCCAAATTCAGTGAAACTCTCTTGGCTGAACGAGAGAGCTAAGGCCGAAAAAAAAAGACCATGCTTCAAAAGCAAACGAGAAGCCCAAGGACAAGCCCCACAAGACTGACAAAAAGGAGAAACATAAAAAGCCAAAGAACAACAAAGAACACAAGAAGGACTCTGTCTCGGGGCGTGGAATGTTGAACTGCCAGGGCTGACCACACGCGTGGCTTACTTGCAATGCGCTTATCCCTTGAAATTTCGGTATGATATACATATATGTATGTGATTATATATATATAGATATATGCACTGAGCCACTGAGCCATAGAAATGTTTGTGTTGGACCTGGTGGATGTTGGGATTCTGCAGGAGAAAAAAGAGAAGAAACGAAAACATGATGAGAATGTACTCGCCAAAGAAGGCTGGATCATTCATGTCCAGAGCTTCCACGTTAGATCTTTACTCTATGACCCCCTGTTCTTAAATGAAGTTATATAAATGATCTTAAATGTACGTGGATATCAGGTAGTGGTCAAACTTGGGGACCCCAAAATGTCCACAATCGGGTTGGCGGCATGCATCAGAATAGTTTCTTCAAGTCAACATATCCACATATACACACACAATAGAGGATCACACACACACAAATATGTATAAATATATGTATACTGTATATATATATTATACAGTATGTATGTATTCTATTGTATGTGCATATGCATGTATATGAATGACAGTAGAATCCCAGAACCCTGCTTTAGTATGGGTTCACGAATTGCCAAAATCTGAGGAACCCCCTGACGTCCCAGGCGATGTGAGCGAGGATGAGTTGCCTCCTCGAGACGACGCTTCGGAGGGAGGTGAGCTGGGCAAAGATTGGCAAATGGACGAGAGGTAAGTAATGGGTGATTTATGGTATTTTTTTCATATTTTTTTTGCACTATCAGTGGGGAAATGCAATATCCAGCTAAAGATGTGGTGGAAAAGAGACGAGTTCTATGCATTTCTCCTTTTGCAAGGGATCCAGGGCTAGCCAAGTGGCAGTAATGCGCCTTGTGGCGGTTTCTACTATTTTCATCTATTTTCTACTTCCAACCCTGCCAGGGATTATCATTCCCAATGATCAGTGACTCATATGGCTATGGATCAATACCTATTAATACCATTTTTAGGGGGATGAACATCCATTTACCAGCTATTTTGATGTTCACCAGGGGTACAAGGTTTTGACACACTGCCATATATCTTTCAAATTCTTTTCACAGCTCAGATTCCCAATATTCCCAGCGATTTCTTGACATATGTGTGGAAACTGGCACATAACTGTGGATGATCGATCCCGATTACTTTATATAATTTGATGGTGGTCACGGTAGCAAACTATAAATTTTATAAATGATTGCCCAATGGTATCACTCTGAACATTCATATCTCTGCCAACCGCAACGCTGTCGCGCCGCAGGCGAAGAGGCAGATCTTTGGAATTCCATTGGAACTGTCATGGACACTGCCCCTGAAGAACGCAAGCTGGACGTCACGGTCGGAGGAACCCCGGAGCCACAGGCCTTGCGCTTCGTTGGGATGGGTTGCAAGCAGTAGCTCCGTGGTACAGAAAGGGCATGTCCAAGTCTGCTTAGGTCTAGCCTCACTGTTTGGAGTAGAACATTACATGTTTTTTTCCTTAACACTAAATACATCCATAGATTAGAAGTTATAAGAAAATGAATGAACAAATTATAAATAAATAAATGCACAGCTACAGTAAATAATTTATAAATATGTATATATACATGTACATGAATAGATATCAAGAGACATATTTTATCTCTTCAAAAAGCATTCAGTAACCTACACATGTTTTTTAAATCCCATGGCGTTACCACATTTGAAACATCCAAAGACTCCAGCTTGGGTGCGTGGTCCAGGGGAAGCAGCCGCCCACGCCCGTGGAGGATCACGTGATTCAGGCCATTGTGGGTCTGTCCAAAGCCACTGAATGGGGGGAACAATGCATCAAACCGGGATCAATGCCACATCCTTCGTAGCCGTCTGGGAGATGCACGATGGTGTTTCTTTTGACTTGCCACGCTGCCGGCAGGTTCCTGCTGACATCATGGACCGCGTGGCTGACAAACTGCCGGCTGTGGGGAACATGGTCAAGACAGCAATGCTGGTGATGAAAGGCAGCACTGTGCATATTTCAGGCGCATCCGAATGGTTGGAGAGATTTACAGTGTACGCAGGTCGGGTATAAGGAAGATCCTTTTGGGATTTTGCGGGTATATTTTTTTCAAGCCACCAATGTATATGTTTATATGTACCTAAAGTGTGCCATATAATATATTTCTATTCTTTTTGGAGCTAACTTCCATGATCCCAGCTGGGTGGGGCTCAGCTGCAGGCCCGCTGGAAGCCAAGCTTCGTGCGAGCCAGGGCCTTGCAGCCGTTCTGGACAATCGAGTCGCGGAAGGCACGGTGGGTGGGATCTCCAGTAGCGGTTTTCCTTTATGGTTGCTCCCCTCACAACAGGATGGCTATGTGAGGTTCAAATCCTGAAATAGCGGCCAAATGATTTGTCAATCTTGTTCTGGCGTATCATATTCCAGTTCTAAGGGTTCTAAGCGGGAATGCAAGTGAAGTACTAACCTACTAAGAGGATCATGCCCCAAGGCATGGTAGATTGCAGCTGTCAAACCCTCTTGATTGCTGTTTCAGGAGTTCCAGATGTCACCACCGTGCACGTGTTGCCTGAGTGGGTGGACACTTGGGATGGATGCAAGGCGCTTGAGGATGAGTTACTGGATGGCATTGCGTGGCTCCCCACATCGACTTGCCCAAGAATCTGTAGAATTGTTCTTCTGGAAGCTCCAATGAAGGGTCCTAAAATGTTTTGAAGCAACAGAAGGGGCCCATGTGCAGATCCTGAGGCTACAAGTCCTTATCGTTTTCGAGAGGCTTCGCGGACAATCTGCTTTTTCCCATGGGCACCTTGCAGGCTTGCCATACAAACAGATGAACTCTGAAGGCGCGGTGAGTTGTGTCAAATTGATTCAAATTGTGTCAACTGTCCTCTTGAGAAGGATGGGCCAACAAGAATCCAATCATAAGTGGCTGTGCCATGACCATGATTCCCTTTTTCCCGTGCTGTGTCCAGCCGATGA